AATTTAAATATTAAAAAAATTAGTAAAAATCTTCGCAGGCAAATTTGCCTGTGTTACAATTTAAGGGATAGCATTTTAGCTATTAATATGAGAACCAAAGAGTTATTTATATGGAGTTGAAGGTGTTTCGCTGATGATCTTCTTTAGATATTCTAGAGGTATTTCATAATTTTCAGATTCTTTAATATTTATTTGATCTGCTTTCTTTTGAATTTTTTCTATTACTTTCAAGTTCATTTGAAAAATGTTTTAAAACAATGCTGGACAATTATATGATAGCATACTTTGAAAAAATACAAATTCTTGAAAAACATAGATAAAACGTATTTCCAATTACAGTACAAAGAAAATAAAAGGAATGTTTATTAATAAAGCATAAACATATGGACGTATGTAGTTACGTATTGACATCACTACTCAAATTTTATATGACGTAGATAATGTACTACTTTTGTACTAGTTTCATTTTCTAACGGCCTCTAGTTGCCTTCGGAGAATGAAATATAAAAGGTAGTTTCATATTATGAATTTTGGCAAAATTAAGGCTTAATTTGGGTTCGTTGACTATTCTGGCTAGTTCTTTGTTTGTTAATAATCAAAGCTCGAATTTTGTTGTCAAAAAGTAAAATTTTCGAAAGCAAAACTAATTGCTGCGAGACTAGCTTTTTTTCAATTTTATTATATAGGGGTAGATAAATAAATATTTTTTTTTTGAATTAGATTTAAATTAAAGAAATACAAATATTTAAGAAGACGATAAATAAATATGTAAATTTCTTGCAATTATATTTTTTCTATTTAATAATTGAAATAGTTTGAACTGAAAAAAATAAATTAACTAAATAATAGTATATACTAACTCAATAATAAAAAGCTCAAAAGAGAATTGCTTTTGAAAATTCTCACTAATTTAGGTTCAAACATATTTACGTCAATTAGTTTATATAAATAATGAAGAATGCATGCTTCTGGTAAGGTGTATTCAGTATTAATTTTCTTGAAAATATATAAAAAGGTGATAAAAATAATAAAGAAACAAATTAAATATAAATGAAAGAGTAAAAGGCCATATATAAAAATTATATTGAGCATTAGTAAAAAGAACATCAAGAGCATGATTTTGTCACTAATTTTTTTTAATTCATTTATGGTCAATGAATCTTCTGAAGTAATTGTATCTATATGAACAAAATGATTAATTCATTTATGGTCGAAGAATCTTCTGAATTAATTGCATCATCTATATAAACAAATTTATTAATTTCTCTCTTTATTTTAATTATAATTTTTTACCTTGAGATACATTCCCATTTATTAAAGATTCATTTAGTTGTGATGACTACAAAAAATATGAAAAATCCAAATAATAAAAGCAAACTTTTTGATTTGGTAGAAATTGTAGATCTCTTGCTTCAGGCGACATTTCGTCTTGTGTGATTGGAAAGTGAAAGAGGAATTTTACCACCAAAGTCAGTCTATAATTTATAGTTTTGACAAATCACAGGTAATTTTCTGATCTAAAATCATAATTTAGTTATTGAGTCATTATTTAGCAATATAAAAAAACATAATCATAGTCTTATATCTAAAAGTAAATATTTTATTTTAGTTCTAAAATCGTGTGATAAATCAATACAAGAGTTTTATTTTTAAATAATTATATAAGAAAACTTTATTTATATGGAGTATCGGTATACAATGTTTTAAAGTATCAGGTGCATTTAGTGTCAGAATTTATAATTTGAATAAAAAATAATGTCAACTTATTATTTAGCAATATAAAACCATATAAAAAAGTATTTTGTAATCATAATAAAATATTATAACACAAAAAAATCAATAATATTTGACGTGTGCCCCAATTTAAATTCAGGATGCATAATTTTTATTTAAATGAAAAAAACAAAGTAGTACAGTCATTTGTTAGTGATTCACTAGCTGAAAAATCTCCAGACGAAATAATTGTATCTATACAAAATTGAATAATTAGTTTCTCTATTATCACCATTACAATTTCAATTATAAATTCTTACCTTGGGAAGAAACTAATATATCTTCATTTAAAGAATCCAAAGAGGGTAACAATTTTCTTGGATAGTAAGCTTCTTGGTTTGATGGAAAAGGATATTCTCTAAGATTGTGTGACATACTAATTTTAATTATTAGAAAATATAAATTAGAACATTGTAATTTTGGGTCAAAAAAATCTGAACTACTAGAGTCAGTCATAAATTTATAGCTTTGACAAATCACAGGTAATTTTCAGATCTAAAATCATGACTCAATTATCGAGTCAACTTATTATTTAGCAATATAAAAAAACATATAACCGAATATAAGTACTTTCAAAAATTTTGAACTACAATCAATAAATTTAGTTCTGAATAGAGATATAATTGTGAAATATTTTATTTTAGTTCAATATAATTATATAAGAAAACTTTATTTATATTTTTTTAATCAAATATTATTATATAATACCATACAAAAAAAGTAATTATGTTATTAACGAAAATATATAAAGCTGAAAAAATAAAAAGAGATGATATAAAAAAAATGGGACGACCATATGTTAAGAAAATTACTAGATCCACTAACAATCGATCCTTACAAAAGTCTGGCCAAATTTTATGAAAGATGAGTCAACTTTCTCGAACATGAAAAAAAACATGTTATAAAATTTTTCAATGATAATAATATACAAGGAGATAATTTGTCTAGTAAAGTAGCAAGATTCCAAATTTTAATAAATGAAGGTGAAACAAATAAAGCAAAAATTGAAGAACTTTCAAATAATCTTTATAAACGAGATACTGAAATCAAAACCTTAAAAGATAAAATTAACCAACTTACAAAAGAAAAGGATGACTTTGAAAAATGATGTAATAATTTGAAGATCGAGAATAACCAATTAAAACAAAAAATAGAAGAAATGAATGTGGATGCGGAGCATACAGAAAGACTACATAAACAGAATATAGAAAGAGCAAGAGTACGTAATAATAATCTTTATGAACAACAGTTAGCTTATAGTAGACAATTAACAGATCAAGGTATTTTTTTATTTATATACACATAAAAAACGTATTTTGTTTACTATCACATTAATAAATTTATATACGCTTAAGGTCTTGTCAGAACAATACCGGTACTTCAGCAAACCGAATCGTCATTAGATTTAGAATTAGAACCCGAACCATTACTAGCACATTGAAGGGAAGATTTGGAATTGTTGGCCGTTTCTTGTACATACCCAATGAATGCAACGAAACCACCGAGAATAATTGAAAAATAAATTTAAGAAAAATTAATGCACATGATCACATGGTTTATAAATTTCTTTGAATAATAAAGTCTATCAGATAATAACTTTTTTTCATTCATCATATAAGACTTAACAAAATAATATTATATGGTTTCAAACGAACCGTTCTAGTCACGGACTCATATGCATTCGTTGAATAATATTTTCAGCCCATAAATTTTTAACCAGTTAACAGACCGTTCTAGTCATCGGACTCATATGCGCCCGTATTTCTTACAATGGGCCGAAAAAACACCTTCCTATAATAAATAAAAAGTCAGTCATCTACATACAAATTAAATATTAGCATTAGTAAAAAAAAAAAATAATACTTAAATTTTTAACTAGAAGATAGTTAAATTTTCAAGTAAATTAAAATAAAGCAAATCATAAAAATAAAATTCTTTATACTTTTTTTTTTTGTTTGATGGAAATATGCAGTGCATTAACAAGTTCGATTCAAGAACTATTATAGTAATCTTCGATAATCGAGTTCTGGCAATTTTACTATTGAAACTTTGGGGTGTTAAGTCCGTGACAAGAGTTATCTTGCTTTAAATGCACAGAGTTGTTTGTATGTGGGAATGCCAACTTAATTTTTTAAGGAAAATTTATAAACACCAATTACATTACATTAATTAGAATCAAAGACTTGTAACATAATGCACAGAGTTGTTTGTGTGTGGGAATGCCAACTGAATATTTTAAGAAAAAATCTACAAACACCAATTACAATACATTGATTAGAATCAAAGACTTGTAACATAATTCACAGAGTTGTTTGTGTGTGGGAATACCAACTGAATATTTTAAGGAAAAATCTAACAAACACCAATTACATTACATTGATTAGAATCAAAGACTTGTAACATAATGCACGGAGTTGTTTGTGTGTGGGAATGCCAACTGAATATTTTAAGGAAAAATCTACAAACAACAATTACATTACATTGATTAGAATCAAAGACTTGTAACATAATGTACGGAGTTGTTTGTGTGTGGGAATGCCAACTGAATATTTTAAGGAAAAATCTACAAACACCAATTACATTACATTGATTAGAATCAAAGACTTGTAACATAATGCACAGAGTTGTTTGTGTATGGGAATGCCAACTGAATATTTTAAGGAAAATCTACAAACACCAATTACATTACATTGATTAGAATCAAAGACCAAAGACTTGTAACATAATGCATGGAGTTGTATATGTGTGGGAATGCCAAATGAATATTTTAAGGAAAAATCTACAAACACCATTACATTACATTGATTAGAATCAAAAACTTGTAACATAATGCACAGAGTTGTTTGTGTGTAGAAATACCAACTGAATATTTTAAGAAAAAATCTACAAACATAAATTGATTAGGAAGAATCATACGAGTCAAAGACTTGTAACGTAATGCACAGAGTTGTTTGTATGTGGGAATGCCAACTTAATTTTTTTAAGGAAAATTTATAAACACCAATTACATTACATGGAGTTGTTTGTGTGTGGGAATGCCAACTGAATATTTTA